AATTGAACTTATTGAAAATTACCCGTGCAGTAGTAAAGAAGAATTACAAAGACAAGAAGGGCACCATATAAGCAGAACTGACTGTGTGAATAAGCAAGTCACGGGAAGACCAGCAATAGAATACCGACAGCAACCAGAAGTTAAAGAACATAGGAAAGAGTATAACAAAGAATATAGAGCACTGAACCGTGATAAACTAAATGAGTATGATAAAGCAAAATATGAAAGGAAAAAGGAAGAAAGAGGGAAAAAGATAGAATGTAATGTATGCCATCAACTTATTAGGAATGACTGGATGAAGAGACATCAAGCATCAATCAAATGTCAATCAAACAAAACAATTTACAATGAAAGTAATGAAAATATTAATATCTAAATAGTTCTAATAAACAATGAACTTATTAGAACTATTTAGTGGTACTTCTTCGGTTGGAGTTGTAGCGAAGTCGCTCGGTTATAATGTTATATCATTGGATTTGAAAAATGCTGATATTAATTGTGATATACTTGAATGGGACTACAAACAGTTTGACAGAAACCATTTCAATTTTATTTGGGCATCCCCTCCATGCGCTGAATACAGTAGGGATAAAACAACTGGGGTTAGAAAAATATATTATGCTAATAGTATCGTTTTAAAAACCCTGGAAATTATAGAATATTTCAAACCTCAATGGTGGGTCATTGAAAACCCTCAAACTGGACTTTTGAAGGAACAACCGTTTATGAATGGATTGAAATATTTTGATGTGGATTATTGTAAATATGGGTTTAATTGTAGGAAACGGACTAGGCTTTGGGCTAACATAACATCATGGAAACCTAGACCATTATGTAATCGGGATTGTGGGAAAATTAGGAATGGGAAACATTTAGAAACTTCTCAACGGTTACCTTCAGGAAAAAGGGACAGTTGGGGTGATGGATACATCAAACATAAACAGGAAGACCTATACAAAATCCCCGTCGAGTTGATTAGTGAAATATTTGTTAGTTTGATTGATGTGAGGGACAGTGGTTTTCTCTCCAAACAACGTCTATGAATGCCTTCTTGGTTTATTGCGGTATTGCGCAATACGCTTTACGATATTTTAAACGGTCAAATTCATTGTTTTGCAATACGGAAACAGGTGTTCTGCAATACGGAAACGGGTGTTCTGCAATACGGAAACTCCAAGATTGTAATACAAACCTCGGTCAATTACATTTGCTACTAAATAGGTCTTATTGCGGTATTGCGCAATAAGTGCGCGCAGGTCTGCAATACGGAATGTTCCCGATTGCAATACAGAACGTCCCGATTGCAAAAAAGGCGGGGCAATACCACAACATGAGGGAAGCAATACCGCAACAAGAGGGAATAAATACAGCGGGTGTTATGCTCCACTAATATGAACTTTTAGTTTAGGTTATTCATACTATTTGATTATAATATGACTAAACAGTATAAACTTTTATAACCTTTAATTATACTGTAATTTTAACCTATAACAACATTTCAATGACAAAACATATATCAAAACAAATACACCACCAACACCCCAGAACTTGATAACTACTAAAAGGGTTAACTCTTTCAATTGAAAAAATGTCGGCCCCCAGCCCAACAATGAACAAGGCGACAATTTACCCAAATGATTACCTTAACGAAAACGATATATAAGCTCCCCGAAAACACCCTTTTCAAAACGAATAAGGGGGAACACAGATTTGAGATGAACATAAAAACCAGAACAGGCAACCCTCAACAGACCTTCCCCCAGGCCCCCCCTTTTTACCATTTTTTCCCCCACCCCCACCCCCACCCCCACCCCCACCCCCACCCCCACCCCCACCCCCACCCCCACCCCCACCCCACCCCACCCCACCCCACCCCCACCCACTAGCCAGCCAACCAAGCGCCTCTTTGGCAGGTAGTGTCCTGCCCAGACGGCGTGGGTGACCCTAACTCTCCGGAGTGCACCCAGTTCACTCTGGATCTCTTCCGGGCGCGGAGGGAAATGGGCGGCAAGATCGTGCCGGGTCTATGGAAGCTTTTGGAGAGGCGGTCGACTTCTGAACGTGGAGTGCTTTAGTATGTTTTTGTGATGTCTTGCGATAGAAGCAGGTTTTCATTTGTTTTTGTTGCTTGTTCTTATTTATCTAGGTTGTGGGTTTTCACGAGATTGGAGGAGCGAAGTGGGAGGGGAGGCCGATCAATGTCTGTACGACCGAGCATGCACCGCTGATCAAAGAGACGAAGCGTCAAACCCCCCAGCATCAGCAGCCAGATTGTCATTCCGGGAGGGCCTGGAGTCCAGGATCCTCTTTTCTCTTGCTCCAGGGCAAAGGGGACCTCCATGGAAACGCGGGGGGGGGGGGGGGGGGGCGGAGGTTCTCAACATGTCTTTGGGGCGATGTCAATCCAAAATGGGATGGCCATTTTTCGACTAAACTGTCCAGTGGCACCCACTGGCAGCCAGATGTTTCGTTTGGTTGACGTAATTAACATATCTTTGTGTTGGAAGAATGAGTGTCACCATGGGCTCGTGGTGAGGTTGGATCCTCCCCTTGTTAAATAATGAATGCCCAGAACATGGCTTGGTCACCCCCTTTGGAGACTACTTTCGGAAGACTACTTTCTGCTTGGAAAGGGAGCAACCGTGCACCACGCTCGTTGGTCGGAGGCAACTTGTCAGTTGAAAGCCTGTTTCCTAGCCTAGTGATCCACGGAGAAGTAGCAGACGTTTCCCACGTGCAACAAGGGGCTCGAGCTTTGACATGTGTTTGAGTAGTGACGGCACACTGTTTGGGTTTGTCTCTAATGATGGGCTTCAAAATCACGGCGATGTCCGTTTGGTTTCCGATTCAAACCAACCAGAGGGGGACGCCCATCTGACCCATTGGCCTCATTTGACCGTGTTTGCCTTGCCAAGACGGCCATTTGTTTGTTGTGCCCCCCGCAAAGGCCAGAAAGAGGGTCCCCCTTGAGCAAACCAGACGAGGGGTTGGAGGAGAAAGTTACTGGAGGCCTTGACGATTTTGGCCGGGTTGCTGGGGTCGAGGAGCAAACCCGGAATTTTCTTGGTGCCCTTATTTTTATTTGGGCCACCAGAAAATGAGTGCATTCCGTCCCATGGCCGGAAACTCGGCGCCAGAAAAGCAGCGACATCGCGACGCTGTCCAGCCTTGGGGTGAGTTCCAAGAAGCACGGGTCCCGGCCGAGTCGAGCAAACCGAGTTGGGTCGCGTCCAGATGCTTTGGCAAAATGAGTTGAAACAACCAGACTCTCGTCCCCTTTGAAGGGAACCCTAAAGGGTGTTGTTTGAACAACAGTGGTGCAACAAGGGGTTGGTTCCCCCTGGCTTGGTTGCTTGATTGGGGTGAGGCGTGAGAGGTTGCGTGGCTTATGGATGCCGGATTCCGTTTTCACCTGCTCGTCAACGTTTAGGGTATCCCCAAGGGGGAGAAGTGTTGCAAAGAACTGCAACACCGTCAAAAAATGGAGGGGGGAGGAGGTCCACCAGGGATTTCTGACCCTGAGCTCGGGCCTTGCAGTGATCCCAGACACCTGTGGCGGTGCCTTTTGCTTTTGCAGCCCCTTGACTTGGGACGCCATTCTTTGGGGCCATTCTTCCAACGTACCGAAGGCTGGCAATGTCTTGCCTTTGAGCCTCCGAACCGCACCCCGCAACCATCAAGCAGGATGATATACTCAAAGGGGGAGACTAAGTTGAGCGGTTGCCTTCAGTGGGGTTTGGCGATATGGGTGTGTGTTGAGAATTCCTCCGGCTGTTGATTTGCTCTTCCACAATTAGCGTCATCCGAAAAGGGGTGCACTCGTGCAATGTTTGACCTGGCAGTTTGGTCAGAAGTTCCTTAGGCAATTCAAATTATCATTGCAAGAACTCCTGGGATAGCCCATGAGCTATCACTCACATCATTGTAGAGATCTCCATTTTGGAGTGGCGAAAGGGGCCCGCGGCCCAACCCGATTCTGCGCCTTGGCTATCCCATTGAGGCTTCCTGGAAACCGAAATGGCCAACCCCGGTTCTTTGGGATTTTCCATCTGGATTTTAGGGAACAAAGGCGATGGACAATCCCCAAGGCTCCCCAAAAGCTTCCTCCCGGTGAAATATGATCCAGCTTCGGACAGTGGGATTTTCGGTTTGGAGCTTCCCCACCTCTCGGCTTTGGGGGGATTCCCTCGTTCTGAAAGTCTGCAGGGGTCTTCTCCGTGCGTTTTTCTTCTCCCGATGCGATGGACGAGTCCTCGGCCGCTGAGTGTGATGTACGTGACTCCGCCCTTCGACGCCGGCGTCCAGAGCTTCAATACTACGGCGCGGGGGCGGGCAGCTTTGGGCATGCCTTGGTGAGGTATTCCTCTTGGATACTCAACCCACAGGGTATAGCCATGGTGATTGGGGGTTAGTTCCCTAAGAGTTGGTAAGCTGCTTACGAAGTTTGACCTTAGGTGGAGCTGGACGGCGCAATTCCGAAGGACACTAAGAGGAAGCCTGCAAGTTTATCTTTCCGTCCACCAACACTGAACCTTTTTGAGGGGTCGTCGAAGACTAATCTTCTCTAAAAGGGGCATATTCTACAACTATAGTAGCCCTGCAGTCACTTTGTGTCCCACAAACACGCCCAAGCAAGGGCATCCCATGCGACCGGGAAGTTTGTCACAGCCAACTTCGAAGCCCATGATGAGGGCAAGGGTCCTGAAATGTTGAGTGGTCGACGATGAACGTCTGTGCGGACAGCTTTTTGCAGGGTGCAATGCCACCATTGTTTGCCTCAGGACCAAGCTGATTGGTGGTGAATTCCCCCTTTGGTTTCAAGCCGCACCGTTTGCCCACGGAATTTTCAAGTTGGGCCTTGTGGCGATGTTCGGTTGGTCCGGAGAACCGGGCTCCAAATCGTATTGACGCGACCAGTGTTTGACGGCGCAATCCATGACCAGATCAGGCCGTGTAAGATTTGAACCCTTCAGACGTCCCGAAAAAGAGCCATCTGAGCCATGAGAGCTTTGAGTTCACACTCAGCGATCTCAGCGCCAAGAAGGTGTGCACGCTTTTTTGTCCTCTTGGTCCTACCATGCGGCTTCTTGCTGCCGTGCTTTGCTGGCTTCTCTCTATCGCTCCATTTGGAGCCATGGAGAATGCAGCAGATCGCCCAGGTGGAGATGAGCGCTTCTCGCAGAGATGTGATGATTGGAGCTGCATTGTCGCAAGCTGAGTTGCAGCAGGTGAAGCCCATTTGTGAAGTTCAATTGCATCGCGTGAAGCCTGTTCAAGGACAAGTTGGGGGCCAATTCGCCAGCATCAGTGCCTTGCTCGGAGGAAAATCGGTTGAGCTCATGCTTGATACTGGTCTTTCTGAAGGGATGGTGACTCCTTCTCTGGCCAAGCAGTTGAAGCTTCCGTCCGTGGGGAGCGCAGAAGGTGCTACAGCAACTGGTGGAGCTACTGTGGAGCTCGTAGAGCTTCGAGATTTGATATTGGAATGCGGTGAGTTGTTGGCGCCTGTTACAGCAGCGGTGGCCAGCTTTCCGGAAGAGAACATCGATGAGAATTGGTCCTTGACAGGGATGCTGGGATATCAAGTTTTGCAAAACTACGATGCAGACATTGACTTTCCAAGAGGCAAGCTGCGTTTATGGCGTCCAGGTGAAGGTGGGCGGTTTTTTGTGTTCGTATGTCGAAACTCTGCACTCCGCGAAATGTAGGAGTAATCGCTGTCTCAGTTGCGTGTTCTTCGATCAAAGGAAGCATCTCTTCACACGTGATCCGGTCAGAAACACAACCCGGGTCTTTCTCAAAGTTGGGATTTTGTCAAACCACCACAGATGCTATTGTTGGTAACAAACCATGCCATATCGAGTTCCCGAGTTTTGAAATATACAAAAAGCCAAGACTCATCCCTTAGGAGCAGCTGTGGCTCGACAGGCAGGTCTGGCAGATGTGGAGGCCGTGGTTTTATCTGACTTCGCGATCCTCGGGGTGCGTGTTCTGCAGCCCGGAGGCAGAGCAGCCGCAGCGTTGGGCATAGTGGACACCGGTGCCGGCTTCTCTGCCATCACTCCGTCCGCAGCGGAGCTGCTGAAGGCTCAAGCAGGAAGGAAGGCGGTGACCATCGTTGGTGTGGATGGAAAGCCAGTCCAAATGCCTCTGAGCTCTGAAGTAACTTTGCGTTTGGGAGGCAGAGCTTTGACAGATGGTGGATGGGAAACTGCCGTATCCTTGAAGACTACCAGAGTTGCTCTTGGGGATCTGCCTGCGCTTCAGACTTTTGCCAATGGCAAGCCAGCTGTCCTTCTTGGATTGGACGTCCTTGGAGGTCGTCGTTTGGTTTTTGCCGCCGGCAGTGGGCCAAGGCGTCATTTGTTCATTGGCCCCGAGGATCGATAAGGATCAGTTGCTTCGCAAATCAACCTGCACAGTTGCGCAGTCAGGTGAAGTGATCCACAGGCTGATGCGTGTACTACTTCATGGTCTATTTGCTAGATCTGCAGGCAACAAAGAATGAAGGGACCCCACTGGCGCTTCTGGCTATAGATTCTGCGCCCGAGCTGAATCCCATGATGGTCCCAGGCCGCATGTGATGCGGCGATCCCAGGGACCAGCCTCGGCAAGCGGACAGCCGGCGATGTGCGCCACAACGGAACCGGCGTCTTCTACCATTTTCATGAGATGGGGAACCTCACCTGTAACATATGGATGAATATACAACAACCATACAGTGACTTACCCTTACAGCTTGTCATGACGATCCTGGAAAAGAGTGCGCCCACCGTGACGGATGGGAACTTTGAGACGTCCTTTTGGATGTTAGGCGTTGAGTTCCGAGTCCAGACTTTGGGTTTGAGCGAGGTGGAGAAGATTCTGCCAGCGTCTTGTTGACGTTACCCTGTTCGCCGTGGTTAAAACGAAGCCAGATTTGGGGGGTGCCATCCCTATTGTGACACCTGGCTTTGACTTTAGCCCTGTTTTGGGGGTTTGTGAAAGAGGGCATCTCAGGGAAACCGCCTCGGCGGGTTCCCCTCGAGACGAGCCCACAGAAAAGCGGCTCTGTGAGACTCGCGCCAGGTGGAGTTGGGCCTGCCGTTCTCCATCTCAGCGCGCACCGAGCAGCCAGGGACCCGACAGATGGGACGTGTCGGGATCTGGCGATGCGGACGGATCCGGAGGAATGGTTGGAAAGTTGTTCAGAGGGTCAGCGGCACCACAACTATCCTATCCAGTTGTTCAGTGGCCCTGGTGGCTTTGCCAAAGGAGAAAATGAGTTCCCGAAGTGTGGGTAAATCTGCGGGCGGCGTCACGTTCCGATTTCGGGGGGTGCGGCAACGCCCAAAGTGGAGTTTGCTTGTTTGGGTGGTCCCTTGTTTTCGTTGGTTTTGGTACACGATCGACCCCTAGAGATTCTCCATGATGTGAAGATATTAATTCTGGGTCCGTGTTATCCCTTTGGTTTCCCTTTACTGAGGTCAGGATAGGTTTTGGGGCAATTGGTCAATTTGAACATGGTATTTGTGTAGCCCAGATTTGGACCAAGCTCATAGGTTTCGGGTTGCTCGGGACTTGGTGCAAAGGGTTGCAGCTGCTGCCTCGTGAAGTCTATCATGTCGAAGAGGCTGTCCGCAGCTCCTCGCAACCGGCTGCTTTTGCTGGGACAGACTGAGCTCGTGCTGCCGGAACATTGCTTGCCGCAATGATACGGTTGCTGGGCCCTTGGAAGACAATTGCCAAAAGAGAAATTCCGGAACAGACCCCAAGCAACTCCCCGACCCAGAGATGTGATTTGGCCTTCGCCTATCCCTACGAGGTCTTTGGGAGGGGTTATAGGGTGTGTAAGGGGTCCTTGTGGTTTTCTGTTTGGATGCTGGACACTTCACCTTCTTGAATAACACTTGACATGAGTTTCCTTCTGGCAGGATGATATCTCCCCACATGTTCTCAGCTAGGTTCAAGTAGCTGACTTTGGGTCACCCAAACGCCCGAGGCCAAAAGGCCGTGTCGGCATCCTGGCGCCGATGGGGCCGGGTCCCAAGTCGATTGACCTCCAGGTCGGAGCTTCTGTTGGAGGGGGGGGGTTGGGGCAATCCTTCAACATCAACAAGGCAAGGGGGCCGTGAGGTTCGTGGTTTGCACTCCGCAATAGGGCCAGCCTACGTCAGAGAAACAAACTAAGCCGGGTCTGGTTGGAAGTCCATCGTGAGGGAAGGTGTTTGGCAGACTTGGCAATGACTTATTTGCCATAGGGCCAGAACAGTTGGATCTGCCCCATCCCATTCCCGTTCGTTTTTGGAGGTTGGTCCACTTTGACCTTTTGTTTGGACCGTTTGAAACATCACATCTTTAGAATGTCTCATCCTTTTGGACAAGTCTTTCTCGCAACCACGGGAAATGGCCCGTTGGCAAGAGTCGAAAGAGTGTGCCTCCTGCCCTCGTATTAACATGAGACGCGAGCTTTGAGGTTAAGGCTCCCTCTGTTTCCCTCAGGAAAGGCCTTTGGATCTGAGAGATCTGCTTGAGTGGTCATGAGTTTGGAGCAGAACAATTCATAACCTGACAACCTGACTACTTGGCCTTCTGACGACTTTCTCTGGCTTGCAGGGACGAGCGACTGAGCCCAACGGCACACGGAGAGTTCTTCTACCACGAGTTGGGAGGCCTCTAAGCGCCAGATAGATTCTGCAAACCTATGCTATGAAAGAAATCACACCAGGACATTCGACGAGCAAAGAGACATGGATATCTTGACCTCAAGTCTTCTGGTTCGCGCTGGCCACTTCATTTTTGGGGTCCGACAGTTTTCGGTTGGTGAATGTCTTGGGAATCCCCCCGACTCACCAAAAGGGCCGCTGGTTCAGTAGCCCGGAACAGCCTTTTCTCAACTATTGGAATACATGTGCCAAAACTCTCTCTCCGGTCAGCAAGCGCTTTGTAGGAAGATTTCGACAACCAAAGACAAGGCGACGTACAGCTTTCAATTCAGATCTAATGCTGGAGTGGACCTCTGGCTAGAAGTTCCCGCAGTCTTGAAGGCGGCACACCGAAGCAGCGTATGAAAAAAAGGTGACGGTGGCCCGCGTCACTAACGTCGCCGTGACCTAGTTTATGCAATGGTGTATGTCACCATTTGAAATGGAGGGCGTTCCTTTCTATGTTGATTCTTCAGCTCTATACCTCGCGAATAACGGAAGTTCCTTGAGGTTTGCTGGTCTCCGACCTGTGAATCATAGTAATCTCCCCCGATATCTCCACCCGGGTGTCTTCCACATGTTGACCCAAAAGTGGGCTCATGACGCCTGCCTTGAGTGCACAGTATAACCTTCGTTGAGGGTCATGGAGACTCTGGGACTCCTAGCCTCTGTGTCCTCCTGGCTTCCGAGATGCTGTCGGGTAGCACAGTTTGGGTGTCTTTGCACTTTGGATGACCGGATCCCCATATTTCTGAGATATCAACCACACAACAAGGACTCCGGGGAAAAAGAACAAAACCAACAAAACACAGAAATCTCTGAGTCGCTCAAATCGCCCCGTTTGGAAAGCAGCTGTGGGGGCGTTTCAGAAACGGTACTTCGACCCTTGTTGGGTTGGTACGAATCGCAGCAGGGGACCTGTTTTTCCCCATGAGAAACCGCATGCCCCGCCGAGGTCGGGGCTGGAGCCCAGCCTCAACGGCTGTGAGAAGGCAGCCCAGCGACAGACCGTTTGGGCCCGGGCCCCGGCCTCCCAGACCTCCGGTTGCCCATCTGCGAACCACTCCCTTCTTTGGGGGGTTGGTTTTCGAGGTCCAAGGTCAAATAGAACACATGTGCCCCAAAATGGATTTCGGTTTTCCCTTTACACCAAGATTCAAAGTGGGCTCTCAAGAAGGCAAAACCAGGCGCTAAACAGCCTTCAATTGAACCATGGCGTTGAAACTTGCTAGGGTGTTTCTTCGACCACTTGGCTGTGTCTTTGTGAGGGTGCCTGTATCTTTGTGGTTTTCAAGGCAACTGAAAGGAACACCACCATTTTAGGGGGTCCCCTAAAAATCGACACGCCCACTTGGGAACCTCCCAACTCTGGGACCCAAATCGTCAAAAAAAAGAACCACATAGGTGCCGCACAAGCCGAGAAAACCGATCCATCGCCCAAGGATCTGCCGGGCTTTAGCGCGGTCGGCACCTTCACCTTCGCCCGGTCTCCCGAGACGGCAAGCACTTGGATGCTCAACCCACGCCAGGGAAGTAGGTGATACCGTGGTTATAAGGGAAACCAGAACTGGGTGCGACCTATAACCATGGTAAAGAAGCGAACTAACCCCCAGTTATCCCATTCACCCCCATGGTTACAAATGGAGAGACCCCCATATCCCTGGGTGAACATTGGAAAAGCAGCGATGTCAGTTGAGTCTCCTTGAAGTAAAAGGCGATGTTGAGGAACTGTCGGGGGGCGCCGGGGTTGGATCATCCGCGTGCTCGTGTGCAGAAACGTGAAAGGGGTTGGCTTGAGGGCTTGCTTTTCAACATCTCCCTTTACTCTCCTACGCAGCTTTCAAAAAGCAACATGTCGGAAAGGCCAATGCAAGGTGTCTTGTGCAAAAGTGCAGGCAACCCTGTGGTAGCTGCATGGTGTGACCCTTTCCAGTGAGAGATCCCCATGCCAGGGGTCAGGGGGTCAGGACCCTGTTCTTTGAAGCAGGCAGGTACGGTTCTTGTTTGTTTCGCTTAAATCTGCTCTGATGTGTTGCTGCTGACCTAAAAGTTCCTCATGAATATCCTGGAAGCCCGGCCTGAAATCTCTAGGACTCTAAGACGTGACTTAAAAAACTCGGTTTTCTTCATGTTGTCTGCAAGTTGAAGTCTTTTGCCAGCGGTCCGATGTTTAAATGGGAAGTACAGGTGCGAAAAGAGCGCTCAGCGAAGCCCAAGCTAAATCTTCGCTTCAAGAGGTTACCCACCGGAAGGGTTAGTGATCCCCCTCTTTCTTATCGGGGACAGATGAAAAGGGGAGACCTGAAGGAAGGTCAGACTGGGGCGACGCCTGGTGCATGCCCGGAAGCCGCAAGTAGTTTGGTCATAGCCGGGTCGAAAGCCACACCACTCGGTTGGAAACTCCTCACACTTGATCCAAGCGAGAGCTCTTACCCCAAAGCCCAAAATCAGACCTCTTCATGGACGTCCTGACAACTCCCTAAGTGACTTGGGAATTAGTGAGCAATCGAGGCTTTGTATGAAGGAATTTTACTATATATATATACATATATATATACATATATATGTGAAATGGACGTCACAGGATGAACTGGTTGGAAACCACCATTCCTTCGTTTCAGGCTCCGCACAAACAAAAAATCAACGAGTGCCCCCTGATTCTCCATGGGAGGCGGGGCAAGGGAGCAGTTCCCACTGTAAGCCTTCTGCAACTTGAGCCCACCGATAGTTCGGGCATTGCTTTGATCATTTTGGAAAGGATTCATTGCTTTGATGGTCATCTTGGCAAAGAAAACCTTAGCATGTCAATCCCAAAGCTTTGGCGGAACCATGCTGAAGCCATTTGCATGCGACGAGTTCCCAGGGATCGTGTACCAAAAGGAGGTCTCAGCCTAAAAAAGATTAGGACCCGCCTCTCGCGCTAGGAAACGGCTTTGGCCACAATCAGACAAGAAGGTGGGTGTAGGAGACAGTCCTCTTGCCAGAAATCAGTGCAAGATGTTGGCCTTTTGATTCTTACCTCGAGTTTTGTGACATGAATCCATGTCCAGCCAATCCACAGCGGTAGGTGGGTTTTGGATTGACTCCCTTAAAACAACCTTTTGCAAAGTGTTGGGGACGCAATCTGGAGGGAAACCACCGCTAGTGATTGCATTTCATTGGCAGCCAAGGAAACCGGGAACAGCTCACCGTCCATTTTAGACCCGTGCCCCGAGCAGATTGAGCCCAGCGAATCAAGCGGAGCGTGCCGAGCCATGCTGCGGCTCTCGTATCTGCCCTTCCGGGCTATGGCGGAGACCACGCGCTTCATGTTGCGCTACGGGGAGGTGAGCTATGTGGATGAGGCGGGCAGCAAAGCAAAGGTTAGGCGGGCATTTCACCCGATGCGATCCGATTCATCCCCTATCGTCCCCTAAAACCAAAGGTTGAAACATATTTTGATGTGAGGCTGGCGTGTTGGGTTGAAGTTGTAGTTTAGCAAGGCGAGTTTCATGTCGTCGTCGGATTTTTATCCGAGGACCGCTGTCATTGGCCTTTACCAAATGTTCCCACATCGGGGGACGACCCCTGAGAGGTAGGGCCCTCCGGATGAATCTGAAGTTGACATTGAAGAGGTGGCACGTACCGCAGTATTTGGTTGGTAAGTTGTTGAAGCTGTCGGGCGTCAAAGGCTTCACGGGTCTTGGGCACTACTCAGTTGGTGATGTTAAAGCCAGAGAGAACCCACCCCTTTTTGGGGTTTCCCTCAAAGAAGACAACCCCTTGTGCCCGTGATGCTTTTGCCGTGGCGCATTCTGTCAGGGAAAGTTGTCTTCACAAAACTAGCCAACACCCTGAGAGAAAGGTCTCTGAAGAGAACGCTGGGTGAATGAGGAATCAGCCCTCAGCGATTCTCCAAATGGAAACACCAGATCGCTAAACCCATCCCTACTAGCGGGTGTCGGGCCTCACAAAAAAGGGCCAGATCTGTTAGTAAAGGTTTTCAGGGGTTTATTAATCCGGGGTGAACAAGACCCGCCTGGGAAAAGCCATGGTGCAGTCAGGTGGTTTGGGGCAGGGTGTTCGCCGAGCGGCGCGCACAAGGCGGGAAGGCTAGTCGTTGGGCCAAACGTCCCGACAGAAGCAGACGGCCCATCTGAACTGGCACATATTTTGCGGTAGACTGAATATCAGAGTCAGAAAGCATGAAAGCAATATTTGTTGCCCAAATGTGGGCCAAGTTCATGGAAACGGAAAGCACGTTGTTTCAGTAACGACAACATCTTAAAGCAACTGAAAGCCAAGCCGGCCAACATCTTGAATCGTGTTCAAAGGATCCTGATTCAAGCATCTTATGTAAAGCAATCAAGGTGTTGGGCCAACCCTCCTATCAGTTTTCAGTTTTAGGGAGGCGTTTGGCTCTTCTGGTCTTCGAGCTGGAAACGGGTGCCTTTAAACTTGATTGACCCCCGCACCTCAGCGACATGTATGGAGTTTACAGGGATAGGCGTCCTAAAGAGCCGCCCCAAAAAAGCAAACAATAACATATACGAGGCCCCACCCAAAAAGCTCCCGCAAATAAAACCTTCAGTTTAAAAAAAAAAAAAAGAATCCCTGGCAGTCTTGCCAGGCGAGTACCCCTTCGATAAGGTGCCAGTGTTGTACATCAATGGCCGGCCTGTAGCCCAAAGCGCCTCGGCTGAAGCATTCGAGGGGTTGAGGTGAAGTTTCTCGGGTCCCGAAATCATGGATGGGGGGGGGCCATCCTCGATAAGCCTAGGATAAGCCAAGGATAAGCCCTCAACAAGGCCTTACTCAGGGGTTAATAAGGGATAGCCCCCCCTCCCTAAAGCCCCCTTAAACTGCACATGCTGAGGGGTTCTCAAATTTCATTTGGGCGGCGTTTCCCTGTCAAACCATCATTTAGAGGGTCTTTTGAGGATGTCACTTAAAGCATGTTGGCCGGAGTATCTCAAAAACGACTCAACTCACGCCGTGTTCGGCATCAATGTTTGGGCCCACACTTGCGGGGTGGCTGTGATCTCTTCTCATGTGTTGTTACATTTTCAATTTTCACCAAGATGGAGTAGAATCAAGCATTGTTCTTGTTTGGGGGCGAACAGATGGCCATGAACCTTAAAGCTATGGCTCCCCTTGCTTCAAGATCAAATGATTCCCGTCACTGGAAGTACAAATAGACACATGGTGCCTGAAAGATCATGCCTGCCATGATTCCCTGCGGTCAATGAATGCCAAGGGCCTCCAAAACGAATCCCAGAAGCGAATCAAGGCCCAATAGGGTTGATGGGTTGCTTTGGGGTTGCATTTGCGAATTCTTGCTGGGGTTGATGTCCTTCAACCACTAGAGGGGGGGTGGCTTTGATGGCAACCCAATACCATCAGCTTGTGGTTTTTCGGGAACCCAGTTGGGTGAAAGTAGATGGCACAATCCCCTCATTTAGGTTCAGGCAATCCCTTTACCACCCACATCTACCGGGAATTGTGCCATCTACCAACTCTCCCTGTTGTAGCTTCGCTTTCCGTGAAGCCGGATGGATCAGGAACAAGCTTTGCCAAAGACCCTTTCAACTGTTGATGACGCATGGATACAGTTACTCCAAACAAGCATGTAAGCAAGGGATCTTGTTTATAACCTTGGATACAGTTACACAGTTCCCCTACTTTTGCCAGAACAACCACAAGCCCGATATGTATCGGGGATCCAACATGACCAGGGCGAAGCCCTAATTTAACCTTGAGGATGTTGTAATGGACCCAGAAAGAGGGGCTCTTGGGGAGACCAAATGGGTGTCTTTTTTAGAGGACCCCCCAAATTGGTGGGTGTCCATTTGGTTTTCCTGTGAAACAACTCCAGAAAAGTACCCTCAAAAAACGACACACCCAAATGAGGTTGTGCATGTCTTACTAAAATCAGCCCAGAGAGGTGTTCAGGGGTGAACCCAGGCGGCTCTATCGCCCGCTACGCGGCGAAGCTGGCGAAATGCTACCCCGAGGATCCTGCGCAGTGCGCGGCAAGCGACGCGGTCTTCGAAATGGCACAGGAGCAGATGGGTTGATCCCTGGGTGTGTTCAGCATCGGGGAACCCCCATGGCCTGAATTGTCCTTTGGTTTGGGATCTGCACAAAGCCCGTACAGGCAAGAGGGGGTTGAACGAATGATCATAGTGATTAACTGGTTTGGTGATTTCCCATGGGTGACCCTTTCCCCTCTTTCTTCGGGAGGGGGGGGTGGGCCCCTTAAGAATCAAGTGCCAAAATGTGTGCCCTCTGTATCATGGCCAGTGCGGGTCTTGGGTGACCCTGGATGGGTTCTGATAAATGGGTTTCATTTGTATGCGAGAGAACACATGATTGTCCTTCGCAAGCGGTCGGCACCACTTTGAACCTGTTCAGGGTCCCCTGATGTCCATTCTCTTCACCCATCCTTCTCAGTGGAGAACTACCATTTTCCCAGGCCTTTTTTGAAGACCAGGATAGCTGC